AAACAGTACGTGAAACAGAATCTTCAGACTTAACGAAATCACAGAAGATATGGCAGACATTATAATGTATTGGGTCAGCACGAACATAAAGTTATATGCAGTGGTAGCAAATGATTGTTTGAGAATGTTATAATTTTTATTACAAGTTGCCCTGACTTTGAAAGTGCAGTCCGAAAAATTAATTGCACAAATGAACTTTCTGACTTTCGATTTTTATATTGATACGTTAAAGAAATACACTGAAGAGGTAAAATAAGGAAACATGAAGTTTCTCGTGAGATTAATTAAAAATTTTTTCTACTTCCATGACAACAAAATCTGTTAACTTTGCTTCCCGTAAATGTGTCAACAGAAATCGAATCAAATAAGTCAATTAACATTAGACAGATTTGCCTAAGTGCGCTAATAGCAACTGTTTAATAAGATTTGCAAAGCTATTACTTTTTGTATTTCACGCTTTTTATTCACTGACAACTTAATTTTCATAAACAACCCTTTTCCTTTTCACTTGCCTGAAAATTTTTATTCGTTGCACTCTATGATTTCTCTCTGAAATTAACTTTTAATTTACAAACGTACTTTCTTTTGCTTTTTGTCAAGGTCAGTCCGAACATTATTGCACTCAGTCCAAGCATTTGAGTAATGATAACGGCATTTGAGTGAAATGTTAGTATTACTCTAACATACGCATCTCGTAAACTATAGTTAACTTCATACTTGAAGTATTATAAATATTTAAGTATTGAATCCCCCATTTTAAAAATTTAAATAATTAATTTGATCGCCGGATAAATCGGTTTCCTTTACATGAATTTTTTAAAATTTCATTCAGATTGAAAAAAGAATGGCAAAACAGGAAAAATAAAATCTGAGTGAAAAAAAGATTCGATGGCAAAACAGAAGAGCACTATCACAAAGAAGCTGCATCAAGACTGCTTTTAATTATTCATGAAAAGTTTATGGTGAAGGAGTCAAAGCTTCTGTCTATCAAAACTTTTCACATATCGTAATCATGTTAACAATAACTAAATAAAACTGATGAAGCATGATAAGTTGAAGAGCGAGTTCTTTAATTAGAAAGGAGAATTTAATTGAAATAGCATTTCATTTAAAATTTCTTTCACCTTTTTTCAACTCCTCTCCATCGTATGTATACTCGAGTGACGTCCTAAGAATTCAATTATTAATAGTCATGAAGTGGGCATAAATATTCTTAAATAGATGATTTTTCGTCAGTTGCAGTTTTGAGGATTTTTAGTAGACTTTATTTGCAATTTCCTTATATGTGTGGTGTTTCTTCCGATGATTCTTGCTAACAGTTGCTTATTGCTTGCTTTTTTATGCACCATTTCGCTGGTCTTCAGGTACGCCCAGTGAAATTTCGATTGCACTGTTTGTTTTATGGTTTTCCAAATTATTGCTTCTCTCACCTCCGGCATGACTTTCATTGGGTTTTTGTGCTTAACTCTCTTATTTTCGGTTCTACTTTAATTCTTGTTATTCACGAGTTTCATCTTATAATTTCCATATGCTAGCTTATGCTATTAATGCTCTTCTTCTATCTTATCGCTGTGTTAAGGATTTGGATGTTTGCATTTGGATCGTCACGAAAAGGTTATCTGAAAGGATGCTCTCATGTTCAAGTTTCTTCTATCTTGCAGCATGTAATGTATGAAGTGAATTGGGTTGAATGATTTGCATTATGCATTCTAAGGAAGCTTTTGTGCTTTTCTACTGTATATGTTCATACTTTTAATGGTTTTGTTTACAGTACTTATTACATCACTATCATAATGTAGTAGCCAAGTTAAACAAAGAAAACTAGATTGACATTAAAGCAGTCTAGTCTGAAATTATGTCTTTAAACATTAAAAAGTGATTTAAAAAACTTTAAAATTTGAGCGTATAGAGAAATTATAAATGTCAACAAACGTCTTTAACAAATCACATAAGCTGAAAACAAAATAATTTTAACCAAATGCTGATGAGAAATATCATCTTTTTGTTGATAGTCCCGCAGGATTTATTATTTAGTCGTTTTTCATTTTTGAGCTCCAAATAACGCTTCATTTTATTAAATTCGAATAAGTAAATAAACTCGATGCTATAATTAAATAAATGAACTCGTGAGGAAAGTGGATTTCAAAAAATCTCGTGATATCTCGGAGTAAAAGTCTTGTTGATAATTCAATAACATTTTTGACATTCCATCAAAAGTATTTCAATATTTGCTTGTAATACATTGTACCGATAATACGATAATAATAGCATTTTGATCATTATTATATAAGAAATAAAATTTCCATAAATTCTCGAGAAATAGTGTGACAAGGTTCTTGTTTGATACTTCAAACATAATATTTGATAACATTTTGCTCAAAATCCTGAAATTTAATTCTTGGTTTGTAACATACAAGTGTTCCTCAAATCAATTTGGCTATTCATTTTTATACCCGATTTTAAAAATGATGGTGGCTGAATAACAGTGTAAATTTTTGATTTTTTAATACATACCAAATCACAAGCTGTTATCTGCTATACCAATAGCACACGTGTTCTGTTCAGTTTTGCAAAAATAATACTGCATTTACTTGAACACAAATTATAATTGGTTCTTTAATTTAAACTTTGACTAAAATTTAGCTTCTCTTGTACAAACAAACATTGTGATTAATTTGTAATTTTGAAGAATTAATTTAGGCAATGTAATAATAATTGGCGATTAAAGAGGCCAATATGGCGAATTCTATTGCATTCTTCTTTTTGTCATCATATTTTGTGAAATTGTCATTATTTACTCTTTAATATTAATAGTATACGAAGCAAGTATTAAGATTTTGTTCCTTGCAGTTGTTAGCTTGTCAACAAATAACAGGACGGCTCTGACTTATTAACACATTGTCTCTAAAAAATTGCAAGTTGCAGCTGATATCTCAGATATGCATGCGTTACTGTCTCTAAAAAATTGCAAGTTGCAGCTGATATCTCAGATATGCATGCATTTTTCCAAGTTTTTACACTGAGTATAAAACTTAATTGAATCTGAGTTGCATGTTTAAAATATAGACTTTATATTAGTTCGCGTCACACGCGTTCATATGAAATCATGGTGCTGCCAAGTAATTTAAAAAGGATTAAGTTTTATTTATATGGGTTTCGATTACGATTGAAAGAAAAGAAAGTTTGGTTCGCATTTTCAAGGAGCTTTAGATTCGGAAAAACGTAATACAATCGGCGCATCTTGTGACAGTCAAAATAAAATTATCATTATTGTTACGGAAAATAAAATACTTGAGTGGATTTATTCCTTCACTGTTTACAAATCGCAATTTATTTAAAGGATATTTCTTATAAACTAATACAGTATGCTCTGTTACATCGAAAATTGTTTTCGACAAACAGAGCTGAAAGTACGTTGCATGCTTGGCAAAAAAATCTTTTCAACGTAGAAACAGTACTTTAGGGAATAAACACGCGCCTTTGGAAGTTAATCATCTTGCGCCGAACAAAAATTTAGAAATTTCAATAACTAGCAGCAATATTCCGAAAAATACGTTTTTTTAACTTAAAATGACTTACACTAATTAAAGTTTATGCTCGTATTAGGCATTTTATACAAACTTTCGCTTCTTCTGTGATTTCGTTAAGTCTGAAGATTCTGTTTCACGTACTGTTTGGTATTTCGTTAAAATTATGCTTGCTTTCTATTGACTTGCCAACTTGAAAAGTTTTTCGGTCCTTTGCCACAAAATGGAATAAACGCAGAATGCTTGAAACAGATTCGCACTCCTTTCTTGCAAGCATCATCGCATTAGCAGTCATCATAGTCGTAAGTTGTTTCTTTCATTTATTTTGTGCAACTTTTGATCGCCAAATCTATTTCAAGCTTTTTCTCCTGTTTCTACATGCAAATCGTTTGACTTTCAAAAAGAGAAGTCAAAATAATTCAAGTAATAACTTTAACTTTGACCTGTAGATATCACTTCTTGGTATGATCACTAATGGTTTATCGCTACATATCATAAAAACAAATTCGCAATTCCGAAACGCCTTTGGCATCCTTTGCAACGCATTCTTGTTGTGTAACATACAAACTATTGCAATTATGCTGATTTGGGGGTCCATCGTCATAATAACGTGAAACTTTTTGCTCTCCGTTTTTTTCAATTTTGTCATAAAGCAAAGTCTTCAACAATTTACCATAAGTTTCAAATTTAAATAAAATCGATGTTTTATACGCAATACTCAACGTCACTTACATGACTTATTTGTGATTGTTGCAGAGATTCACGAGAATTGACAAGTTCAAAATCATGGCTTGCTTTAGCACCCGGATGTTTAGCAAATACATCGTATTATGGTTCACTCATAGTGCACTTTCTAATAGCAGTTAATAGATACTGTGCTATTGCATATCCATTACGGTATCGGTTTTTTTGGTCGTCAACAAAAACGCGCGTAGCAGCCGCTGTAGCATATTTTTTGGGATTTCTACCCTGTATACCTGGACTTTTCGGTCAGTTCTGGCACATTTGTTTGTTAACAAAATTATTTTATGAAATATGAACAAAGGAATTAGAACTGCAATTACTACTGAATATTAAATTCAAGCAGTATGTGATTTAGAGCCTTGTACTCTGGTCTTCAATGTGAATTCCGACTTTCAGTGGAAGTACAGCGACACAAAATGTGGTAGGGCAAATGAATTTTTCGACACAGCAGCGTCAGTCGCAATAATGTGCGCTGCCACGTGCATTGATTTTGTAACGCTCCTCAAAATTCGAAATCACTTTAAAGTATGACTGCTATTTTGATCAAACTGAATTGGGCTAGAGTTTGAAATCACTGCAAACTGCAGTGATTTCAAAATTCCATTTACATTCCATGGCGAAAAAGCATGGGTTTCTCAACTGTGATCAACAAAATAGAGTCAATCGAATCTATGCAGATTTAGACATTTCTCATCTTAGCTTTTTTCAATCTTTTTTAATGCTCACAAATTTGTGACAGTTGCAGTCGGCTACGGTGCATCCACAATGGACAGACACGGAAGTTCGCAGAAGAGATCTGCGATTTTTCAAGCAAGTGAAGATTTAACGATCGACTGGAAAAAGCAAAGCTGCATTATAAATTTTGCAATAATTTTGTTCAGCTTGCAGATATTGGTGGACTGGTATTAACTGTGACGTCTGTTCTTTTCAATGTCGGTCAAGTTCGTTTTAAAAACAAATGTTCTTTATTCTTAGCGTTATTCTTAGTTACTACGATCAACGGGGGGATGACCTCTGTTCCCGATGGATAAGAATCACTTTTTTTACATCGCAGAGATCACTTCATTCTAAAAGTAATAAACATTTCCTGTCGTTACCATTTCAAAGTGTACTTTTTGCCTACAAAATAACTGTCAGTTATGAATGATATATTATTTATTTGTTTTGTGTTTATAATTCTTTATCAAACACTTTTGTAGCTTTGAGGTTCTGATCTTCTACCGACGTTTTCTCTGTAATAATGCCCATTTTTCCTACTATAGAGCCGTTTCATTTCGAGTATGACAATCTCAACGTTCATCACTTCAACATCCAGAGAATAAGTGAAGAAAGGCAGATGAGAATGACAAATGATGTTTCGTAAGCACTGGAATTGGAAATAATGATTTGAAGTGAGGATCAATTTTAATGATTCAGCGCTGTTTCTGAGGTATATATAAAAGCCATGTTTATCAAGTTGTTAATTGTACTATTTGGTTCTCACAATCGTGCTCTCTTTCCTTTCACATGTCAATCTTGTAAAAAGCTTATTGATTGTGGAAGAGCACCGAAAAGAAGTAGGAATAAGAATAATACAATGAGAAAAACGAGTAATGTCTCCTTCAAGCTAGCTTTTTTTTTGAAGCTTCCTGATTGCTCTATTAAACTGTCATTTTTGAAATAAATCTTATATTATTATACTATCTCATACAAACAGTATTGAAGGAAACAAAAATAAAGCAACTGCTGCGTTCACAATTATCACCAAAATGCAGTTTTTTTCAGGTAAACTGTAGAAGGATTAAGTGAGAAAATCTATCCTTCCCGTCAGTCTTGGCGAGCTATTTATTATTGTCCATAGAAAAAATGGTTCTCTTCCTATTTTAATACAAAAAGTATGTTAAGATCAAAAATATTAAGGATCTATAAATTTTAAGAAAGGATTAGTTTTAATGATCAAAAATAAAGGAGAGTATTGAACATTGATATAGAGTTCAAGAGACGCAGGAAAAAAAGCGAAATTGAGGCTTTGGTAGGAAGCAAGAAATAGTGCCGCGTGTATTGAAAGCAGTTGAGAAGACAAAAAGCCTAATTAATTAAGCTCGATGCTAACGAAGAAAATAATGTTGTCAATGCACAAACTCAAATGAAACAATGAGAAATTTATCGCAAGTAAAAAGGCTGAGAATTCAAGAGTGAAGTCAAGAATGTACACATGAATGTGAAATAACCCCAAGAGTTTTTTCGCTTCCAAAAACTGTACTGTGCAGCTTTGTAATTATTAAACAAGAAATTAAGAGCAATGATTTGTAAGATTTGATTGAAGAACTGCGACTCTCTCGTGTTGATTATTGTGGTCACTGTGTAGGTTGAGTATAACAATAATGAAGTTATAGATTAAGAAATGGAGTTTTTGTAAATGATGCTGACGTTTAATTGAATCTATCCGGGTGCTATAGTAGACTTACGAGCAAATGCGCTTAATCTTATCAAATTTGCTCAGGAATTAAGAATTACCTCAGAATTACTTCATAATCAGGATTGCAGTCGCAGCAAGCATAACAATATTGCGAAATGAGGGAGCTAGAAAGAGGTTTGAGGTTGAGTAGGCTTGTATTAGACATCTGTGGTTGAGTCACTGAGACGTAGCTTGTCTACCTCTGACAAAACAGAAAAGTGAAAATTACAACATTTCATCCCAACAAGAAAAACAATTGCTTTTAATTGAATAACTCGTACTCAGTTGAACTGGAGATTACATATCAATTGGGATCGATTTGAATTGTGAATATATTTACAGTAAAATGCGAAATGTTCTAACTGCCCCTCATATTGCTGCCATATACTTGCATTAATCTGAGAAGTATACAAGTTTGAATTGCTTTGGGCAGTACAAGAGCAGTTCTGGGATAAAGCAATTAAGATATTAATTATAAAGCAGTCAACTGCTCCATACAATTATGACCCTTACTTGCCATCTAATGTGAACATTTTTTAATTTGCGGTTACGAAGTCTGCAGAACTTCGTTATTAACACTGCTTCTGGCTAGCAGTTAAGGAGTTGCACTATAATAATTAGATTTGCTGAAGAACTTTGAAAAAGAATAGTGGTGGACAAGGATTTGTGATGTAAAAGCTAAATAGCATTAGTTTTGTTGAGATAACTTTTGGATATCGATTGGAAAAAACTTTGGTCTTGATCAACTTTTCCAAGATGCTCAAGCAATTTTAGTTGCTGGTCACATAGTTTGAAATTGATTTGCGAGTTGTGACTAGTCCGACAGAAGATTATTTCTTGTTTCTAGTCGTATACTTTAAGTGAAAAAATAAATATTAGATAGTTTCAAATAATTATCATAAAAACTATACAAAGAAGAAGAATTGCAGACTGTTTGAACAGTGCATTTAAATCATTACTCATCTCTATGAGACATGATTGAATTTGATTAAAGTATAGACTACAGATTAGCACCTTTATGATGATAAATTCAGTGCTATTGAAATATGAGGACTGCATATTTTTCAATGCTTTGAATATCGTGGCAGATACTTAATTAGTAATTTAGTTGGATCACTGAATAATTGAAGACTGTTTTCTGATCAAGATAACATAAAGGCGATATTTCATGCACTATGACTTTATATTTATTAAATGAGATAGTTTTCTGCTTAATTATTAGCCTCACACGATTTAACAGACCAAAAAGTAAGTTTTCATAATCCTGTTCTGATTTCGTTTTTCATATAAAAAGGTGCTTATCTATGAGAATAGTGGTTGAATTTCAGTTAATGAGACAGTCAGAGAATTCTTGCTTCGTTCAGTCCAAAACTACGAATAAGGTGAGCGAATTAGGACTTTTAAAATGAGACATCTGGAGGTACTTTCATAATTTTGTCAGTTAATTCGGTCTGTGAGAAGCAAAAAAACAAAATATGTGACTGATAGCTCAGCTAAGTTGGGGCTTTTTTCATTGAACAAATATGAAGGTTAGCAATAGTAGCACTACTTTCAGTCTTCTGGCTAATCTCCACATTATTGACACAACTTTGGCTACTGAAGAATTCCCATCCAAAGTGGCCTAAGCCTGAGAAAACCGAGGACTTTTTGTGCTTCTTTCTATTCCTAAACTAAAATCAATGCTATCTTCGAGCAGTCCTCTCTTGCTATGCATACATAAGCATGCATATGCATATATAAATATGTATACACATCATGTAAGTATTTGGCTTACTCGTTATAAATGACTAAAGCTAAATAAAGTTTTCATCAGGAAGGCTATTAAGAATGCAGCCAGGTGGCGATGGTATTTCTCATGCAACTAGCGTGATTCGAATTCTAGGTCACGAATACTTACGTGACCTCGTTGTCGCTCGGCTTTTCTATATCTTCTATTTTGCTTCATTTGGTTCTTTGTTTCCTCTGCTGGCAATTTATTTTAAACAGCTGGGAATGAATGCTTTTCAAGCGGGTTTTTTACTTGGTGCACGACCTTTAGTGGAGTTCGCTGCACGTCCGTTTTGGAGCAGTTTTGCCAGTAAATTTAGGAAAGTGAGAAAATAAAAAATTTTAATTTCACATCAATCAATAATGCATGCGTTACATGCATCACAGATAGACAAGAAATGTTACTTAAATAATGCGTAGTATATGTCATGAATCATAAAATAACACGTCCTTAAAGGCATTAGTTTGATCTAACATCAGTGCTCTTCTCCAAAATCCTAAAAATTTTGTCTTTGCTATTATCGTCACAGTCTTTTTATTAAAAATTTTTTTGACCTATATTTTATAATCTTAGAATAAACTTAGAATTTTGCCTTTGAGACTCAATTATTTGATTTTTTCTTTTTGATTCCTTACACTGTCAATGTAATTATTAATTCTGGTCAGAATCATTTATTTGCAATCAGTCATTAACTTTAAATCATTCATACTAAGGAAGTATATAAAAAGATTATGTCCGTTTAATAATTAGCACTTTCAGTATTTTCAATGAAATTTCACTACAAACTGCTAATCTTTACAAGAAAAAACAAATTTTCTTCAAATTATGAACAGTTATTACAAAGATAATTCAGTTTTTTTCTAATATTCACCTTTTCGGTAGAGCGAAATTTAATCCAAAATTTTCCAGGGAAAACTTTTGCTGGAATTTTCACTGGCATCCTTCATTGTATCAACGTTAGCTATTGGATTTGTTCAACCGTTAACGCCGTACTGTGTAGTAAAACCAGTAAATGCCACCACATGTTTTTATTTAGAATCTGCTGGACAAATAGTTCGTGGCGGTGCACTGGGTTATCTTAGAGAAGCAACCGGAATTGGTCGTAAAAAAAGGGAAACTTCTCGTAAGTTTCAACTCAATCCTTAGTTTAAAGTTGCATGTAATTAAAATTATATTTGCAGTTTTTATTTGTTAAAAACGGCTTAACAAGTTACTCAGCTATAAATTAAAATTGTTAGCGGATGATCGACACTTCCAGGCGATTATTTAGGCTTAGTAAGAGTGAAATATCAACATGGATGCTAAACTGAATGTCAAGATTCAATCATACCACTGTATACTTTCACGAGAGATGTTATTTGCAAACACTGTTATATGCTTGTGAATGACGTAAACTGTATTTTAGATAAAAATAGATAATACAAAAATTAAAAAACATAGGTAGAAATTCTATTTTCAGTGATAAGTACAAGTACACGATTACTGAAATGGTAACAAATATTCGGTGAAAATTTCATTTGTATCATAAATTTTTGAATTTGTGAATAATTAACTTCATAAAGAATAACTAACGATAAATATCAGAACTATACTCATAGAAGATGTAGCTAAATTTTCATTCCCTGTAGTTACTGAATCATTCAATACGTTGGTTATGCATTCTATGATTTTCGTTTTACATCAAATCTTTGACATTTGACCTTTTGTGATATTTTTGTGAAGGGAACTTTGCAATGTTATTGCTTTTGTTTGTGATTTTTGCAGCTATTCTCGAGAGAATTATTGATCTGAGTTCTTACAATAAAGATGAAGTTGTCCCAGGCCTTGCACCACTTTCTTTGACCAGAGATAAGGTATGGATTTTTGAGAGTAATAATACTTTCTGAATTAAATGCTTTCAGAATATTCTATTGTTGATTTTTTTCTTTATGTTATTTAACATACCTTCTAGGACTTGTTTTTATATTCTTCACATTTCTCAGAAATCATGTCATCAAATACATCTTGATTATCACTCCTATTTAAAAATTGATTTAATTGGTACGAACTATGTTTTAATTCCATTATAAATACTGCTAACAATAAATTTACTCATATTACATTTCCATTTCCAGTAACCGTTTTAAAAATTCGATATTCGTATCGAGCTTTACTCAATTCAAAAATTTTACTTACTTTTTATCCGAACTTATGACTCAAACATTTAAATGAAGTAGCTTCCGGAATCAAAATATGATTTAAATCAGGTCTGTAATTACGATGAAAATTTGTCTGGTGTTTTGGTCAGTCCTCCACACAGTACACGAGTTTATCGAAAACCAGCCGTGGAGCAGGTTAGCTGTGTTATACTTTATTAGAAAAATTAGTCTTCCTTCTTTAATTGAAACATTTATCAGAAGCAATTATAGCGATTTCTATTTGTTCATATTCACAAGTCTATTCTTATTCAAATCATCCTAAAGAAGGAAGACAAAAATTTCGTTTTCCTTTCCATTAAGTTCACATTTAATAATCAAGGATTAATTTTTACAATTGGATGCTATTCTCATAATAATCAGTGATTAGTAGATGCGGGAATGACTTAAATGTAAACGTTTTTACGAAAAGAATGTAAGTTTGTTTACTATTCAAATATGTATTTGCTGTTAATATTAATCAGTTCTGGTATTGGTAGATAAATATTTTTTGTCTGCAAATTTAAAAGTCCATTATTTCTGTTTATAATTATACAAGTTTCATATTGTTGATAGTATCATTATGACTTGAAGAATTTTCAGGTATTTCTCCTTCTGCTTCTACTTGTTACACTTGGCGAATTTTTCAGCTCTCCTGGACTTGCTTTAGCTGATAGCGTAACTTTAACTTTCGTTTCTGATAACCCAAAAAAGGTAAGACATTGGGATAAGCAGCAATCAACCCAAACCAAAAAACATTATTTCTTGTAAATTGTTAAAATAGCTAAAATGTACACCAGTTTTTTAGTTTCATATAATATAAAATAATAATATTATATAAAACTAGAAGTCTTTGATCTCAAGTTTTTTCATCGTTTACAAAGATACGCTTCAACAACAAATTTCGTTGTGAGTAATATGTAATTATTTTTAAGCACTTTCAATGGCTTGAATCTTTTTTCGTCATTTTGAAGATTGATTTTTTCAGAATTTTATCTATTTTATGTTTTTTATTTACCTCTTGCATATCAGACATTTTAGATCTTTTAGGCATTTTAAAAATTTTTGGAGGGCATGAAAATAATATTGAAACTGTTTTGTTGAGTAGCGACTTATGGTTAGCTCCTCACTGTATTTACTCTTCTTAAGTAATGATATTGAATAAGTTATTTTACCAACAGATAAGTTTAGATACTAATTAACACAGCAAAAGTATCGTTATTAGTCATGCAATTTTTTAAAATTAGAATAAATATTTAGAGCATTTGTCACTTCTGTTTCTTCAAGAAAAATTCCTATTTTTGTCTTCTTTAATTGGAATTCTTGGAAGCAATGCTGTGGAGAGGAAGAAAAGTGTACCTAGCTATTGATCTATGTATTCATCGAATGTGGGTGGTAGCTGCTACCAAATAAACAACTGTATTGGTTTTAAAAAATTAAGAATATCTTGTAGTTTGGAACTATTCGGCTTCTCGGAAGTTTCGGCTGGGGTTTGGCAATGTTCATTATGGGAATTGGGTTAGACTATTCGGAAACATTTCGGAATCACCCATGTCCAACAAAGAACACGACGGAAAAAAATTATATCCTATGCTTTGCTGCTTGTTCGTTATTCATGCTTGCTGCAATGCTTGTTGGTAAGAATCAAAGTTCAAACTGCCACAAATTTTTCATATCTGCCGTAAAATTTTCGTCAGTAGAATTGTTCTGTTTTCATTAGAAAAGCAAAACTTTTTAAGCCACGCAATTTCGCTTTGGAAATGAGCAACGACCAGATGAAGCCGCTTGTTCGGTTATTGAGACTAGAATTGATGAAATCTCACCAGCAGTAGCTGAGAAAGCCCGTGGAAGGCAGTTGCAAGTACGCATTTTTAACTTTTTACTCTGCAAGATTAATTCTAACAAAAATGGTTCTGATTCAGTGCTTTCAGCAGCACAAATTTATTCATCAATTCCGATCTCAATAATCAAAATTATTAATTGCATATTTAACTATAACTAAAAATGAAGTTCCAAATTAATGCGTTGAAGCTTGAACATTCGGAAAACGACTCTTTGTGGATTCCTACCATTAAAGCATTGCTCCAAGGTCATGCAGCACTGTATTTATCAGCAGTTACCACAATTGGCTTTGGTGCCGGAATCATTTTTGCATTTCTCTTCTGGCATTTACAGGTAACGAAAAGTTATTTGTTATAATTTTTGTAAGCGGAAAAACTTTCCAATAGAAACTGAAGTTTGCATCAAAAATACACGTCTATTGGAGGCTCACACCACGTAGTTTGAAATTGAATAAGGAACGTAAACACAATACGTATGTATTTTTTTTTCATGATGAATTGATACGAGTTTGAGTCTAAGAATTAAAACTTCATATTCAGTTCTTAATGAAGTTATTTCGGTTTTGCATTCTGCTTTTTTAATGCTGCTTTTCGACCTTTATCACTATTATCTTTCTTTCAACAAATATAAAACTTCGAATATTACTTACAAATTTTTTGACTATTTATATTGTTAAATAAGTGGTTTTTAACTAGATGGAATAGTTTTTATTTTGAATATATAATTATTGCATCTGGATTCAGAATGCACGTTCTGTAATCTATATGAATATAATTATATGAATTGATAATATTAAGTCAACAACTTGTTATTCAAATTATCATGGTAAAATTGACAAATGCCAAATTTTATGACAAAATTAATAAAGAGTATTATTTGAGACATCATGGATGAACAAATCATTGCTAAATAATTAAGTGGTTTTCAGAAAATTAATCTTTTTTATGTGAGTAAACATGAGTAATCGTAATGATAACGGTAATTATTAATATTGCCCAAATGATAATATGATAGTAGTGATAATGTTAATCAGAAAAATATTTGATGCAAAACAGTAATGAAAAGTTGGACAGATGAAAGCAAGAGTAATAACGAATAGCCAGGAAAGTAATGATTACTTTACAGGACATCGGTGGGTCACCAATTTTGTTTGGTGTTGCATCAGTTGTTAATCATGGAGCGGAAATCGCTGCTCATTTTTACTGTTTCCAACTAATCAATAAATTTGGCCACATAAAAGTAAGTAATATGTGCGCAGTATTGTAAGTATAAAAAAGTGATGGAAATGAGCAAGGTCAAAATTAATAGGATCAAATTGATCATTTATTCTGTTTCTAATTAGCATCGAAATTTAATCGAAAATTGATAGAAAAAGTGTTTAAATTTATTAATTTCTTAAAATCATTGTGGTATTTATTCTTCAAAGTTTGAATTACAGTGATGACTGATTCGAAAACCGCAAAATAGTTTATTTCCATTTACTCTTGATATATTCTTTTAGCTAATAAATATTTGCCTGGCAGCTAATATCATCCGTTTCTTTATCATTAGCTTACTTACAAATCCTTGGATGGTACTGCCACTGCAGGCACTACAAGGTAATTTGAATATTTCTTGACAGACAAACTAAAATCACAATCAAAGTTCAATTTTAAATTCATAACAATGGTTCTTCTCGAAGGCTTATATGTTGTACATGGCTAGTGTCAGAGAATTTATTCCATCGCAGCTGAATTCTATCAATCACATGAAACGAAATAGTTTTGCAATTAATGATGATAATGTGAATGATTAATTTTACTTTTTATTACTGAAAGAAAATTTACTCGGATGTAATCTAAGTTTCTGTTCGAAAATCCTCTCTAAAGATATGGAATGAATCATTTTCTACCGTAATGAATCGTTTCGTGAAATTTTCTGCCTCTCACCAAGCACTGATGTCTGTGATGGAAGATTTTATTATTTGTTGTGAAATTTAAGCGTAATTCTGGCCAGAAAGATCAAGTGTGCTCGTTACTACAAGCAGTAGTTTGAAAAGAGTAAACTGCATGTACTTTTATTTTAGTTATTACTAGAATTCCTTAACTAAAAAGCAAGTACTTAATTTATATTTAAATTGATAATTAAACTATTATACGAAACCAATGTTAGTCTTCGATACAAGTTAAACATGCACAAAATTGAAGGTCTAACCTTAGCAGCAACATGGGCATCAGCATCATCTTACATTTCCTTGATAGCTCCACCACAACTCAAGACGAGAGCACAGACCTTTCTGATGCTTCTGTATCACGGCATTGGAAAGGGACTCGGAAGTATTGTAGGTGGTTTCATCATCAAGTCAGCAGGTTAATAAAACTGTTCTCGTCGATCCATTAATTGCGATGAGTTATAGAAAATTTTACAGAAATTCCTCTAGCAAATTCTCAGAAAAAACTTAAAAGAGATGCTTTGTTGCTGAAAGTATGTTTAGTGAGGGATCTTTTATTTGTATACTACATCGACAGTACGCTGATCACGTACTCGTTTCAGGAACGCGATTAACGTTTCAAATTTATTCAGCAATAGTGATTCTTATACTGGCAATACACTACGGAATGAACAGGGTTTTCAAATATGATAATGTCAAGTACAGTCATGATTTCGAAGACGATGATGATATGCCCGTTGGTAAGAGTTATGTATATTTCCATTTTATTGCTCAGAAAATTTTAATTTCAAATTGACTCCAAAATTTTACGGTGATGCTGAAAAAGTAATCATAAGGTTTTTCACATCGACACATTACTTGACGACATTGTATGCAAAACTCAGTTTGTTTTCTGACGAACTCATAGAAATATTATCATATTTATGATTAACTATGAAATCGAGATCCAGTGTGATTATTACAGCTCCTCAAGGAATACCTTTGCATCATGGTGAAAGTAAACTGACCGATGCATTCAATCAAACTGCTGTATTAAATTCAAATTATGGCACAATCGCAACCGAAGACCCAACTCAAGAAGCGTACGATCGTTATGTCAAGTCACCATATGAATAATTATTCAACTCAGCTCACTGTCTGATTATATGGCTTCTATCGATGTTATCTTTTAATGGAATGCAGTCTTAAACAACGCTATATCACCAAAATGTGCAATGCACAGGTATAGAGGTATCTAGTACTTTTATTCATAATAACAAAGAATATCAATCTTTCATCATCTTTTGGTTTACAATGTGCAAATGAGCACTTGCTAATTCTTTGTGAAACCAAAAAGAATATCTGAGCAGACCTGAATTACCTACCCGTTCCCACTATGTCTGTTGCTCTTAATACTGTGAATTTGGTATAGAATCCGTCAGAATAAAACTAACCTGAATTATTTACCGTGTCTACATATATTAAAAAACAAGAGTCGCTAGCTGGAAATCATTCGTCTTTTAATCAGAAAATAACAACGAGATTTGTAACAAACAGTTGCATTACAGTAATAAATTCAGCTAACAATTGACAGACTACTATCCTAAGCAAGTTTCCTGTGCTGAACAATGTATATTCTTGCATCATCAACAGTACGGTTTTATAAAATTTTATCTGGATTTCTATGAATCCTCCAAATAATGTTCAAAATGTCATACAGCAATCGACAGATGTTTACACAGTGCAAAGATAATTGTTACAAGTGAATACAACAAAAATAACTAATCTATAAACTCTGAGCCAAAACACAAATCAAGGAAAATACATTTTGAAATGGAACTCAATTAGTAATTAAACACTAAACTACGGTAGAAGGTGAATATACAAATGGGACTGTTCGATACATCTCATTGCGGTCTATAGTTAAAATTGCAATTGAGGAGACATATAACTCTTCGTATGCTCTTCACCTGACAATCAACCACAGAGCTGTACAAAATAAGACTTATTACAATGATTTAGACAACCGATCTAAGAAAACATAAAAATTTTAAAGATAATGAAGCACAAAATATAATAATGGCAACAAAATATATATATACAAAGGTCTCATGAAGGCAATCTGAAATTTTCATTAAACATTTGTAACTTCTGCATAAGACTCTGCAAAGAGGGCTCAAATTTATTGAAATTTACTCCGCACCTCTTCATTAAATTGAGCAAAGCACGAAGCAAGCATGAGATTACTTTAATTTTTTATACAAAAGCAGTAATTTCACAGACTTTCAAAATGTGCAATCTTTCGCCTCAGACTTTTCGGTTTGTCTTTTCTGGCAACATTCAATATCATGACCAAATTCTAAAACAAAAAACTGATGGAACTAATTCCGAGGGACTGACATCTTCGCAATTAGTTTTAGACAATGGAAGTCCATAATAAAATAACTGTGATATGTACATATATCAAATTACTTGGCTTAACATAAACAAACCTCAAAAAGAAAAAAACAGCTTTATTTCATTTTTTTCAACACTCAAAAACAAATATTACCTTCACACTCTTCGCAGTAAGCTCGCGGAGATGGTCGGACTTTATGAACATTTTCATGAATTCCATTTTTCATTATATCTAATGCCTGTTCTGGACAATCAGTGGTGTCATGTAAGTCAAAAACCTCACACATATCGCAGTAAAGTCGTGGCGGTAAATCACGAAATGTTTTGCGTTGCAATTCCATGAATCTTGAGTTACAAATACCGTAATTTGATGTGAAATTGCAATCTTTGTTTAGAAAACAAAAAATAACAAATTAAAAGCTTTTTTGAACCTAATTTGATATGAAGTGATGGAAATACAATTCACAGTTCTCAAATTCCAGAATGATGAATAACATAAGCCTCACACACCGAAGCATCGACTAATCAATACATATTTTTCGGCTAAAAAATAAACTTACATTTGATTTGCAGGTATCCCATTGAGGATAGCTATCTGTTTTTTCATATCCTGCTCCTTTTTAAACTGTTCAGCGATAATGGAATTGAGGAATGCAATCTGAAAAAACACATTCTAACGAATAAAAAAGTGCATAATTTCATAACAACATTTTCCAGTCACTGCAACATCTACTATAACACTTACATCGCGTTTCATTTCTTCAATTTTTGCTGTTTCTGTTATTCCGGCAGCTATCTTTAATTCTTCTATTTTTTGTAGATAGCTTATTTCCTTGTTCTTCCATTCTTCTTCTATGTCAGGAGATATAGCACTACAAAATAACACCTAATTTAAACTATAGGTGGAAGACATAAATCGTTTGAGCTTTAATAGAGATAATAAAAAATCATACGTTTGCTGTTTTGCCTCCAGAATCACAGCCTCATTCTCAGACAGTGTTTTGGATAATTCACGAACCTGTATAATTTAAGCAAAGATTACTCATACTGAAAGCTCTCTATAATGTTTGTGTGTGTTTTTCGCATAAATTATTATTAAAAGCATCATGAAACATCTTTTAAAAATATGCATTGATTAAATACCTCTGATTCTAGATTACGTATCTGAAGCTTTAAGCGATCCACTTCTACATTATGTGTATTTTCTACATCAGTATCCTAAAAAATGTACAAATTATTCCTACAAAGATGCAAGAACTTTAAAACAAGCCAAATTTTCCTATATTTTAATTCCACAAAAATAACTGCTCACATCCTTAATACCAGCAGGTGAAACTGTGAAATTAGCGTAGGTTTAGAAACTTTCATCAGTAACGTGTTTTCTTCGATTCCCGAGATCTAAGCTATAAACAAACGCCAGTATTTAATACCTTCATGAGTCATAGAAATATAGCAAGTCAAATATGTTTACTTCGATTTGTAACATTCTATCTATATTTTGGTTCCCATTTAAATTGTTTGCTATTTCTGTTCCACACGCAATCAATTCAACACTTCTTTGATTGCAGTCATCTTTCAAACTGAAATACATTATTATCAGTCTTAAAGGTTTGTTTACTTATGACAGGAAAAGTTATATAGTTTACTTGAGAGAAAAAGCGTCTTTGAAAAATGAAATATTTAACAATGCGCACCGTTCTATGCATGTTTTCGTTTCCAACTTTTCTTTTCTTATGTCATTTAAAACAACTGATGCTTCATCGTTTGACTTTTTCAAGGCAATTATTTCATCTTTTAAGACCTTAATCTGAAAAAAACAACTACTTTAGAATTTTAAGCACTTTTAATTGAACTTTGTACACTACTAAAAACATACTTCTGAAATAAGAGAGATTTTATTATTTTCTTCTATTGCCAGAGAACCAGTCATCTCTTGTAATTTGTCTTTCAACCTGGAAAACTGAAGAACAGTTACGTTGCATGTTTGCATATATTTTACAATTCATATGTAACAATGACGAATAACAGTGTTCATTTTTGATAAACGAATAACTTTAATTTGACTTTAAGTAAAATAAAATTACTCATTTAATGAAGTAATACTGGCATCACGTTCTTTTTCGAGATCAAACATCTTCGTCCTTATTTCGGTCAGAATGAAAGCCTGATTTTCTTTTTCCGCGACCAATATTTCAACCTCTTTTTTCTGAAAACAAACCCGAGGACTATAATCATTTGAAAATGAACCAGACAATTCAGTTCACTAAAAGTTGACAGTACTGAATAATCTCACCAATTCATTTCTTTCCTTTGCTAAAGAAATTTTTTCATTTAACAGACTGCAAATTCTTTCTTCTGATGATGCACCTTCGCAATCGGCGGCAGTCAAACACTTCTCTATACTGTAAAGTTAAAGAGCTTAGTAACTTTAAGAAGCATGAGCCACGTGCACTCAAAACGAGTCCTTAAATAAAACGAACCTTTGCAACTTAGATGAAAGCTTTTGTATTTTTTCTTCGCAATCTTTATCAAAGCTTACACGGCTTTTGAATGTTTGCATTAATGCTTCATGCTGATCCTTTACTTTCATATGCTAAAAGTTTATATGAATACTTCTAAACTATTCTACAATAAGCAAAAATGATCACGTAATAAATAACTGTCACTAATTATTCTACTGCTACTAAATTCTATCTTTTATATCCACTTCATTTTTCATCTACAAATTCTTTCGGATCAGCAAACGTCCCAATTTATGTTTTTCTACGCAAGTTATCGAACCAAAACTCCGTAATACATGAGTCAGAAAAGACTTATTCAGAAACTCGCCTCTTCATATAACTTATTCTTTTCTTCCGAAAGAACTTTATTTCGAATTTCAGAATCAAATAGTTTTTGCAACCCATCATTGCTTTCGAGACGTAAACTGCAAACAATATTTGCTTCAGTGACTGTCAGCCAACTACTTTTTCAAGTTCCCAAGCAATATTGTAAAAAATTATTTTTATCCGTAAATTGGTTTAAAAAAATGCGCATTTTTATCCGAAATTTGTTTTAAATAATAGTGCAAGCCTCGACTAATAGTGAAATTTAGATTCAGACGATCAACTCAATTCTTCACCAATAGATTTCAACATATAGTGTTTTCACTTTCCTAGATTTAGTTCTTAAAAGTCAATTACACCATCCTTCCAAGAAGTTGAGACAAGATTATTCCAAATCATTTTTCAAACAGCAGCAATGAAAAGCTTTAAAAAACTGAGTTGATCAAACTTATTGCAAAGGAAATATACAAAGATTTCAAACGATTGCTATTATATAACATTACTTTAATGAGTGAATACCTTGAAATATGTATAAACAAGGATAAAATGAGCGGAAAAAATAAAAATAGAGGAGGTCATTACGGTAAACAGTCATCCCATAGCATCATTTCAAGTGCTGCACGCAAAAAGAAATCTTACCGAGAGGTGATTTCTGCATGTTTAGCAGCTTCGTATTCTTTCAGTTCTTGCAAACGTTTAAGCTCCTCGGTATGAGAAACTATTTCTTGTTGCAATGTTGCAACCTGATGAAAAAGATTCCATGAATCATCAAGGTTAAATTGAAGGTTAGGAAAAGACAAAATAAATATCAATTAGTCGACCTTATTTCGATAGAAGGTATCATTTTTGGTAAAAAAACATGTAAGGACAATATTTTCAGAAGGTTTCGTTACTTTTTCTTTAAAAAAAAATTTTTACCATTTTTCGTTCAGTTTCCAATTCTTGACGTGATGAAACCAATTCTTTCTTTAATTTTTGGAATTCAAGCTCTGTTCTAGAAGCACATTTTTCAAAAGAAGTTTCATAAAAATACGAATTTCAAGTTTAGTAATAATTATATAATAACTTAATAATAATAATTAAATAATAACTTCACTTTTCAAACAAAAAATATTTAACAGTACTTGTCAAATGTAATCTTGAGCGCACTGTAATGCTTTTCAAGGCTTTCAAAATCATTTTTCATTACCGACAACTTTTTTTTGAGCAATACGTTATCTGTTTCCAAATGAGTGATCTGTAAAATAAAAATATATGAGGCAAATACTGTATTCCATCACGACATTAGCATCCTTATTTTAAAAAAATAACACTGAGACATTCAAAAATTTGACAACGATTTAAAATGCTCGATATAATTTAAAATTGTAAGATAGGTGCCTATGTGAATTAAAAATTCTCATGAACTGATTACTTGAGCACTATATGAAGCAATTTCATTTTTGCTCTCTTCCCCAAGTGATATTATTTCTCTTTTCAAACTTTCATCACTTGAAGTTACCGCAGAAGAACTAGCAACAAGCCTAAAAATAACGAATATATTTGAAAATAATTACTTGCGTTATGCATTAGATATAGGAGAAATTCCTAAGAGTACAATTCATTGAATTTTTTGCTTTGATAAAAAACTCACTGAACGACTTGTTCGCTGAGTTCAGCAACTTTATCCTTTGCCAAAGTAAGCTCTGCCTCATTTTTTGCCGAAATGGAACTAAGTAATTCATATTCTATTTTTTTTTGTTTTAACTGAAAATTAAAAATATTCAACAACTTGGAATCCGATACACAAAACTGCCAATAGCATAATATGGAAAGAAACCTGATCTTCCAATTCAATATTTTTTGACCTCAAAAATTCCATATTCGACCAGAGTTCTTTTTTTTCATTTTCAAGAAGTTTCTGTGACTCTAACAGTACGTTTTTTTCTGTTTTAATTCTGAAAATATAAACAAATTTTTATGTTTAAACTTTTGGTGGAAAAAATTTTAGAAGAAAAATTGGTTTTGCATATGCAAACTGTCAACATTATCAGCAAATAAATGAATTAGTTGAAGACCATGGTAAAAGACCAATCTTACATGCCGTAATATTAATTTTTCACGGAAAACCAGAAATATATTTTTAAAACAGATGTTTCTTTAAAAATAAAATCTAAATCAGTTATCGATTACTGTTTGCACTGTTCTCGCAAATCAAGAACATCGGTTTGCGCTGACTGCAATTCGTTCTCAAGTCTCAAGATATCGAATGATTCTCCTACCTTCTCCATCTTGAAAGAAATAAAAAAGCTATGTAAAGAGTTATGAAATATTTTCCCATAGAGTGAAAAAAAATTCAAAAACTAACATGGATGATTCAAAATGAAAAACAAAAAATCTGATTAAATTACTATGAATCTAAAACGGTGCATTAATCATCAGGACAGACAATCAGGCAAAAATTCAAATAACAAACTCTCTCGACACTAGTGTTTTTTACCAAATCCAAATCATCTTTTAGCGCTTTATTTGATATTTTCAAGATCTCACACATTTCTTCAAGTTCTGTTTTTTCTTTGAGAATTCTAAAATTTATTGATATTATTTCACAAGCCACAACTGTCATAATTTTTTTCATTTTTCTTATAAGATCTGCTTAATATAAATTAAATTTTTAAGCTGCAATAGAAAACTATACAGATCGATATCACTTTTCAATTGTTGTAGAGTCACTTGATTTTCGAAGGATTCCTGCTCATTTCTCGAACTCGTTATGGCTATCTCTTTTATTGATGCTTTTAGAGTTTCGTTCTAAATTAAAACAGCACTGTCCGTGAAATTTGAAGATGTAAAAAATTTAACAAAAAAAACTTTCAAAACATTCTGTTGCTCTTATAAACGCAACGTGTTTCGAAAGCACAATCGGAAAAAACTTCAAATAAATTGGTATCACTACAAAAAAATGCACAGAACATGAAAACTTGAAAATAATAATACCTGGGACTTCAAATTTTCGAACTCTTCGTTGATTTTCGTAAGCTTTTCTTGAACAGCTTTCTTTATGTCTTCGGAGTGTTTTAAAAAATTATTTAAATGTAATAAAATCGTTCCTAACCTGAAATATTCTGTAATATGTGCTCTTTTTTTTT